TTCACTCAAATGGCTTTTTTTTCTTTTTGAGACAGACTCTCACTCTGTCACCCTGGATGGACTGCAGTGGCATCATCATAGCTCACTGTGACCTCAAACTCCTGGGCTCAAGCAATCCTCCTGCCTCAGCCTCCCCAGTAGCTGGGACAATAGGCATGGGCCACCAAGTCTGCCTAATTTTTTCCTATTTTTTATTAGAGACAGGGTTGCACTCTATCTCAGGCATGTCTTGAATTCCTGGCCTCAAGCAAAATTCTCCTGCCTTGGCCTCCCAGAGAGCTAAAAAAATGACCTTTTTAATAATTTCAATTAACACAAAAAATCAAAGCAATTTTTTAAGTATACTGAGATTCCCTGTGTAGTTGTGCTTAGCAGTAGCTTGTTTTTCATTGCTTAGTAGTATTCCATAGTGTGGCTGGACCACAGTTTAACATTCACCCACTGGGTTGTTTCCAGTTCTTGGCTATTGTGAAAATAATCTATTGTATGTCAGTTATGAGTGAACGTGAGTTTTCATTGCTCTGGGATAAATGCTAGAGTGCAATTGATGGGTTAAATGCATGTTTAGTTTTACGAGAAACTGCCAAAGTGTTTTCCCAAGTTCTGTACCAATTTGCATTCCCATGAGCAAAGCATGAGTGACTCAGTTTCTCTACATCCTTGCCAGCATTTGGTGTCATCGCTAGTTTCTATTTCAGCCATTCATTCTGATGTGTATGGGGTGTAACAGCTGCTGGCATTGAATGTCCTTTCGGGGACTTATCTGCCATCTGTAGGTCCTATTGGTGGTGTGTCTGTTCGTGTCTTTTGCTCTCTAATTGGACTACTTGGGAGTTTAGCCCGTGAGTTTTAACAGTTCTTTATATTCTAAGTATTAATAATTTGTTTGGTATGCAGTTTTTCTCCTACTAGGATACACATAGGATATGGATAGGGTAGGATACACGTATTTTCTCCTATTCCATGCCTTTCATTTTCATCTTCTTTCACAAAGCAGAAGTTTCTCTATTTTGATGACGTCCAATCTGTCACTTCTTTTTATGGGTCATGCTTTTGGCATCAAGTGTAAGAATTCTTTACCTAGCCCTAAATCCCCCAAATTTTCTTCTATATGTTTTCTAGAAGTTGCATAGTTTTACCTTTTACATTTCAGTCTATAATCCATTTTGTATAAGATTTGAGAGTTAGGTGCTCTTTTTTCCTCTCTCTCTTTTTCTTTTTGATGTCTAGTTTTTCCATCATCATTGTGGAAAGGTTATCTTTCCTCCACTGAATTGCTTTTGTTTTTGAACTTTTATAAAGAATCGGTTGGAGGCCAGGTATAGTGGCTCACGCCTGTAATCTCAGGACTCTGGGAGGCTGAAGCTGGTGCATTGCTGAGCTCAGGAGTTGGAGAGCAACCTGAGCCAGAGTGAGACCTTGCCTCTAAAAATAGCCAGGCATTGTGGCCAGCACCTGTAGTCCCAGCTACTTGGGAGGCTGAAGGAAGAGAATCACTTAAGCCCAGGAGTTTAAGGTTGCTGTGAGCTGTCATTCATGCCACAGCACCCTACTGAGGATGACAAACTGAGACTCTGTCTCAAATAAAAAAAAAAAAAAGAGAAAGAAAAAAAAAGAATCAGCTGGGCATTTTTATACTCTGCTCTGTTCCATTGGTCTCTGTGCCTGCCACTCTGCCAACACCACACTGTCTTTGCTACTGTGGCTTTACATAACGGGGCAGAGTGATTGATTCCTCCCTCTTTATTCTTCTATTTTAAAAAGTCCTTTGCATTCCCATGTAAATTTTAGAATAATCTTCTTTTTATTGACAAGAACTTTTGCTGGGATTTTGATAAGAATTGAGTTAAACCTTGGGAGAATTAATATTTTTACTATTCTGACTCATCCAAATCATCAACTTGCTTTGTCTCGTCACTTATTGAGGCTTTTTTTGATTGTTTCCATGGCTTATAGCATACAAGTGCATACCTGTTTGTTAGATTTGCACAAAGCATTTCCATGTTATTGAGCAATTGTAAATTGTACTATTTCTTTTTCTTTTCAGATGGAGTCTCACTCTGTCACCTGGGCTAGAGTGCCATGGCCTCAGACTAGTCCAGAGCAACCTCAAACAGACTCCTGATACAACACCTACCTAAGTTTTCCCTTTTTAGTACAGATAGGGTCTCACTCTTATTCAGGCTGATCTCTAACCCCTGAGCTCAAGTGAGCCTCTCACCTTGGCTTCCTAGAGTCCTCGGATTACAGCCATGATTACAGCCATGCCTGGCCAATAACATTGTATTTTTAATTTCAGTATCCACTTGGGCACTGATAGTATACAGACTACAGTGCAACCTCAAACTCCTGGGCTTAAGAAACTACCCGCCTCAGTGCCCTAACATGCTAGAATTACTGACATGAGCCACAGTGGCTGGCCCACAGTGGACTTTGTATCCTTTTATATCCTTGATGACCTCACTTATTCTAGGTTTTTGTGTAGATTTATTGGGATTTTGTATGTAGACAGTGGTGTCTCTGCCAATAGGGACATTTTTATTTCTCTCTTGTAATCTCTATGTCTTTTTTTTTTTTTTTTGCTTCTCTCACCTTGTCGCACTGGCGAGAAATTTCAGAGAACTTTCAGCAATATGTCAAATAAGAGTGGTGACAGTAGACATCCTTGCCTTTCCCCAGATCTAAGGCAAAAGCATTCAGTCTTTCATCTGGCAACCTAAATAACAGAGAGGGAGACACTCTGAAAGAAGACATTTATTCCATAATTAGTATTGCAATGGAAAACCAGTACCCTAGTGAACCGTGTGCACTTCTTTTCAGAGATGTAAAGAAAGAAGAAAGAAGTTTTTGAAGGAAAAATAGGGAGAAATACATGATAGTTCTGAGAAAATTATCATTGGCTACAAGGATCTATAACCAGGGTGATGTCAGTGCATGGTTGGACAGGCAGTTGCCAACCAGATGTCTTTACAGAAGTACTTCGTGTGTGTAAGGTTATCCTGGCCTTTGTGTGAGGCTGTGGGTTTCGGGGTCTTTGTGACAGTTCTTGTTATCAGGCATCCAAGCGCCAGCGCCTTCTTTCACTGCCTTCCTTGGCTCTATTTGCCAGTGTTTGTTATTTTTTTAAAATTTATTTGTCAGTGTTTTTAATGCAAACTCCATTTTGATTCTGACAACTTTCACAAACCAGTAAGTGTGATGTCAGCCTCAGGTGTATAGTAGATACCCTTTATCAAGTTGAAGAGGTTCCCCTCTTCAAATTTTCCAAGAGATTTTTTTTCTTTTGAGACAGAGTCTCACTTTGTCACCCTCAGTAGAGTGCTCTGGCATCACAGCTCACAGCAACCTCCAACTCCTGGGCTTAAGTGATTCTCTTGCCTCAGCCTCCTAAGAAGCTGGGACTATAGGCGCCCACCACAATGCCTGGCTATTTTTGTTGTTGTTGTTGTTGCAGTTTGGCTGGAGCTGGGTTTGAACCCACCACCCTCGGTGTATGGGGCTGGCGCCCCACTCACTGAGCCACAGGCGCCACCCCTTTCCAAGAGATGTTTAACGATGAGTGAGTGTTAAATTATGTCCAGTGCTTTCCCTGCATTGATCAATGTGGTCATGTGATTTTTTTTCTGTAACCTTTTAATATGATAGATTACATTGATTGATTTTTGAATACGAACGTGGCCTTGCATGACTACGAGGAACATCCTACATATTTTTCTTATTGTTCTTGCCTGTTATCTATTTTTCCATTTGAAGAAAAGTTCTAAGTTGGTAGAAACTTTTTGGTTTATTTTGTTCCTGGTCATATTCCAATGCCTAAAACAACGCTGAGCATAAGGACTCGATATTTGTTTGTTGAATGAATAAATGAACAGGAGAGAAGAAAAAGGAATCCCCAAAATGATTGTGAAGGGAGACTCCAGGGTGACAACTGCGGGTGGCATCTAGTGGGGGATGTTGATAGTGGAGGAGGCTGGACCTGTGGGGGAGGGCAGAAGGTTTATGGAACTCTCTGTACTTTCTACTCAATTTTGATGTGAATTTAAAACTCCTCTAAAAAGTAAAGTCTGTTTTTTAAAAAGCTGATCATTGACTCTAAACAAAAGTCACCCAAGAAAGGAAGAGTGGTCACAGTCTCCTATCTGACTCCTCCAGGGCGAATGCAGGTTTGATGGGGCCCAAAGTTTACACAGTTGGGGAAAGGATTGTTTCAGAAAAGAAAAATACTAATCAGAAATAAATCTGATTTCAAATCAGAGCAATTTCTGGAACATTTGTCCTTTCCGCATGAGAGATTCCCATCTGTGGGAATATTTTGGGGACCATGTCAGGGCTGGGAGTGCTGAAAGTCTTCAGGAACAAGAGCACCAGAGCTGCAGCTGGTGCAGCAGCCAGCAAGAAAGGTCAAAGGCAGCCCTTTGCTGCTCCCCTAGGCCCAGGATGAAGCCCACATCCCCCCCCCAAGGACTCCAGAGCCCCCTTCTCAGCCATGTCCCTCACCAGCCTTATTCCTTGCTCCCCCAGGCTACGGGCCAGTCCACATACTGTCATAGCCGTGGCAGCAGCTCAGCCTGCTCCTTGCTGAGCAAGCCCTCTTCTCCTCTAGCTGTGCACCTGTCATTACCCAATGGCCCCTTAAGACCTCACACCAAGACTCTGTGTCTTATCATCTGTAAATGTGAACAGTGAGATCTGTCCTTCAGGGTGGGTGGGAAACTGAACACCCAATAGAGGACTCGACGTGTGGTGGGTGAGAAAACACTTTTTCCCTTCTTCCTTCCAGCATTTTTTAAGTTTTAAAAATTATGGTAAACTTGACTTTGTGGCAGGTGCCTGTAGTCCCAGTTATTGGGGAGGCTGATGCAAGAGCATTGCTCAAGCACAGGAATTTGCAGTTTCTGTGAGCTATGATACCACAGCACTCTACCCAGGGCAACAAGAGTGAGACTCTGTCTGAAAAAAAAAAAAGAATTGTGGCAAAATAACATATAATTGACCAACTTGTGCTTACTTTGGCAGTACATATAATAAAATTAAAGCAATACAGGGAAGAGTAACAAGGCCCTTACATAAGGAAGATACAAAAATTCATAAAACTTTCCATATGTAAATTTTTTAAAAAGACAAGGAAAAATTGTATCATTGCAACAATTTGTAAGTGTACAGATTGGCAGTATTAAGTACATTCATATGTTGTCCAACCTTCAGCACCATCCACCACAGAACTCCTTCCATCTTCATGACTGAATTCTGCCTCCGTCACACACTAACTTCCCTAGCCCCTTTCCTGGCACCATGTTCCCCATTCACAGACAGCTGTGGTCTCACAGCTCAAAGCAACCTCAAACTCTTGGCTTCGAGCGATCTTCTTGTTTCAGCCTCCTGTGTAGCTGGGACTACAAGCGCCCACCACAACGCCCTGGTCTTGAACTCTGGAGCTTAAGCAATCCACCACCTCAGCGTCCCAGAGTGCTAGGATTACAGGCGTGAGCCACCGCCCCTAGCTCTCCTGTTCTACTTTCTGTCTCCTGGAGCATTTAGCCTGGGCTCTGCCACTGCACCCAGCCTCTTCTAGTGTTGTCAGCTCTTTAACCCTCATCTGGTGAGAGTTTCTCACTCATCTCTGCCCCCAGTACTGGGGCTCCACGGTGATAGAGGGTGGGAGGGAAAACGCAAGATGAGTGAGAGAAATGAGCAGAGAGAGGATAGGTACCACAGGGGTTCATGGGCAAAGGCACATAGGTTTGCGTCTGGTTTTACAGAGCAGGTAGTCAGAATATATTAAAATCCAACGATAATGCAGATGGTTTTAGTAAATTTTTACTTATTTTTATTTATTTATTTATTTTTTACTTCTTTCTCCTGTAGTGATTCTCTTGCTCTCCACCACCCCCCCACCCCACCCCCGCCATGTAGCTGGGATTACAGACGCTAGCCACGACATCTGGCTGGGTTTTTTTTTTTTTTTTTTGTAGAGACAGGATCTCACTCTGGCTCACTCTG